AGCACGAAAGGGTACTAGTCAGTTGAGAAGAGCATCCAGCTTGCGTAATGTACTCGAGTCGAGGGTAATCACATCATGCCCAATCACCCGGTGGCCCCGATTTTGTTTCAAACTGTCACGATTTTATTGTTGTGGTGTTCTACCCGAATTGATGACTTGGATTTTTCCTCCCCGTATGGCCTCGAAAGAGGTGCACGGAAAATACGTTATACCGATCGCTTCTATACGAGTGTGGGCAAAATGATATATCTGTTTTAAGGCCGTAGAATATTCAGCAATCGATTTGCTCAGGGGACTACCCATGCTCTTCGTACCAAACGTGAGCTTGAGTAAAAAACCGAACGCTGCTGGTGCCTTTGGAAGTTGAATGCCATGTTTAAAATTCCGGTGAGCTAATTGGTAAAGTCAACCAAACGAGAAAAAATGAGTATGATTCAGAAGTGGAAGTTTCTTACTAGGAAATGCTGCCTTTATTGTTACAAACTCTGAAAAACAGGCGAGCCGTCTTCCGACAAGCCTAATTAAAATAGATAAAATAAACCAAACTCAAGGATTTGACAATTGAGTGGAAGTAAACTCATAGCTCTATTGTTCTGTAGATTTTGACAGTTCATATGAGGACCGACCGCTACGAAACACTGATTAATATGACTTCCGTTCGATTGAAGCGCTCTGATCATGCAAATACACACCAGCAGTTGGTTTTCCAAAGGGAGTTAACTTGAGTCCGAATATATCGCGGCCCGAAATTGCTGCTAAGTCACGTGAGCTTACTGAATTCAAAATGGCATTTCTGCTGCTGACTACAAATTGATGGCATAGCTTTGGAAAAACTTTAAGACATTTTGTCATTTTTTTTCACAAGACTGGCACTGTATGAGCTTGATACGTAATAGTCAGGACGAATGGGCTGCTTATTATTGAATCCAAGTTGGTGATTTTGACCAAAACGGCTTACAGTGGCACTCTGATGCCTTGTGAAGGCTTTTTGATTGCTGTGAAATTTCGGTTTATTTGCAGCGTTTAAAGCTAGGCAGTGCGTGTACTCCCAGACCTACTAGTAATAAATTACGTTTGAACATAAAAATAGATGGCCTTATAAATGCGCCTGTATTAAGAAATAATTTGTCATTATTTTCTTGTTGATATGAATGACTTTTCTAATAAATGGGTTTGTCACAGACAATGACCAGAAAATGGTTCCCTGGGAAATTTCGTTATTTGGTTAACAAACCTAGGCTCACTTTCTATCTAAAAGTGTTCTGTCCTTGGTGGGGTATGTTTGAAACTTTATTCGCGTACCACATGACGGAAAGTTGTATTGCGTTCAAATCAAATTGCACGCACGTGGCTAGCACAGGTGAGACGAATGCAGATGAACGGACGGGTTACAAGGTCACGGAGACTACTATAAATTCACGTGCATAAACCTGTGGGCAGCCGAAAGATCCACAATACTGTTTCCGTAATCCTCGATTAGAAGAAATGATGAGAATACTTGCCGCGCTATTTATGTTCAGTCTCTGTACGTTGTTACAAATTTAGAACACAATTAATCATATTTAAATTGACAAGTCTCAATAATTTGTCGTTTATTCTTTTTTAGTGCAAGGCCTCTTGGCAAGGGGTATCCCGGAGTACCATCAATGCTTGGGTGAGAACCAATAGATAGATCAATGGTTGCACACGTAATCTATAGCGCACTACCGCTGTTTTTATTTTGCATTGATACAGCTAAACTTCATAACATCTCTGCAGCCAATTAACGATTTTCCCCACAACTATCTTACTTTTAAGTACAACTATCAATAACCATGATGCCGGAGTGTATTTTTTTAAGCCTACAGGAGCCCTGTTGTATAGGTAGAGGCTGATGCCTTCAATCTTAACGGGATAATGCTAGCTTTAGTACATACATGTGTGGAAGCTTTCTAGTCAGTTGAATGATGCCAGTTCTCAATGTATAAGCTTTGTCTTGCAGAATCAAACTAACCAAGTTAGTAAATTTGTTTCTTTGGGCCCCAAACTGTTCTGCCGACACGCGACCTAATTTTGTGGTGGAGAGTTAGAAGTTTTTGATTCTCCTCTAATTTCTACGCAAAATCGTATTGGTGTGGCGGATGTGTGATAAAATTAGATTAAAATCTGATGGGCGTCCATTTTTACGAAATAAGCGTGTTAAAAATAAATTAGATAAATTGCCGGAGGTGTCGCTGGTGTGCGGTGGTCACTAATACATGAGTGGCTCCCGCACTTGCGTTAAACGCTTTTGTCGTTCAACACCTCTTGCAACTAGCCTCTGTATGTTGAATGTTTTCAAACAGAGAAATGTGGGGATGATCCACTCGACGACGGTGAGTTCTGAATAGTGAACTGCGTATAGAAAAACTCCTGATTAATTTTTTCATATTACTTACAATAGCACTGTTCAGGGTGAAGTACAAAATATGTGTGCGCGCGTTTAAAATCCTTCAAAATTTGTAAGCTGAGACTTTTCTCCACTACATTTTCGTTCCAATTGCACATTCTTTCGGGTGAATTTGTAAATGTTTGTATACAGGTTGAAAATGGGAAAAGATATAACTTAATGCAATCGAGAAACCCAAGCTGTGAATAAGGACATGAGCAATGTAATTGACAAAATATAATTTCATCACCCGAGCATACTAGATCCACCTCGTGTTTGGCAAACATATTTGGTGCTAAGAAGCGGTTTTTCGGTGAACCACTTTCTCCGTAGTGGTGTACATGCAGCATGCGTTTGGTTTTTTAGGATATAAAATATTCCTTTTTTTGAACAAATTTTTTCGACACATTGTAGGGGAGAAAAGCGTCAAATACGATGCATGCCGTGGTAGGTTTATGTTCACCATGTGTAATTGTTTCATCAGTGGAGTCGTTGTTGATAAAGAATAATTCCGAAGAAATACCAAATCTGTAATAGGGCTAGAAATCAGAGGTATTTTACTCCAATTTATGAAATTAATTTATTTACGAAATTAAAAATTATTTATGAAATTATAACATTGCTTCATTGATGATGTTTTACTACTTATAGTAAGTCATTAGTAATGCATGTGTTTTCCGTTTCAGAAAACTGTGTCGAAGATGGACTAAATCTATGTTTAGGTACGTCCTGCCCTTCACTTTTACTATTAACCAGTATATTGAATACAAAAGTAGATTGCCGATAGCTGAGTGCTTTCGCTTGCGGGTAATTCAAAAACACAAATTTTCTCGAAATTATTCTGCGTTTGTGTGCCATGTGTAACATTACAAAATAAGGGTACTCCAGTTAGTCAAGTGCACTTTCGTTCATCAGATTGTTTGCTTTTTGACCATGCAAACTGTGCTATGCACGCACGGTTAACCAGATGAGGTTTCGCTGAACGCGAAAACGATGCTACTGGCAGAGAACTCCTTCAGCATCATAGTGGGAAAATTAGTTCAAATAGTTACTTGAAAGAATATAAATAGTCACCACGCTGACTATAATTTTTTGCAACAGGTGACAGCGAAGAGGCTTCTCGAAGGAGTACGTTGTCTGCCTTTTGTTTTGGTTACCTGTTACATTCAAGCGTTAAACTGCGAGAAATCCTATAGTTATATGCGAATTTTGTTTTGGCGCATACATTTGTAACTCGCACAAAAATCTTAGTACGACATTTTAAATTTGGGCCCTAGTTGTATAGTCATTTCGCGTTGTACAAAACAAACCAATGACAGCAGTCTAAACTATATTGGGGCCTGGTAGCTAGATGAAAGGATGCAAGAATAGCACCACTGATTTGCTACCCACAATTCCGAGTAATTTGTGCTCCTAATGTGACAATGCACACTACTGGTAAGACATACAAGTAGTTCGTGCTGGCATCATAACAGCCGCTTGATCTAGTGGAAGATGGAAATTTTTACGGAATCCGTGGAACTGCTCTGCAACATTTGTTCACTACTGCGTTAGAGTCAACGGATAATCAGAAAAGTTCAAGAAGATGAATTGAACAAGTAAAATAAAATAAGAGTACGGAAGGTAAAAGACCGAAAACTCGAGCAGGACAAATTCAACTTGGCGATTTAAATATGCCTGAATCTTGCGGAAGAACATTAAGAAATATTGTGCGTAACTAGGATATTTAGCCAACGATCAGCGCAAGCATGGTACATCTATAAGTCGCCTACCTTTGTTTGTACGAAAGTGCGTGCTCTGTGCTTCTCGAGTTATTCAACCAAGCTGAGACACCAGGTTTTACTGAGTTACTCCCCTTTCGCACATCATCATATTCCTGATGTTTCGCTGGACGGTTGGTCCTGTTCACTTGCGTTTCATTTAGGTTAACCATGAAAGCTAAGATGGTGCTAACACTGGAGCGTAAATAAGCGGGACAATTCCAGCCAGCGTAATACAAAATTGCCTGAATTGACAATAAATAATTAGAGTTTTGCAAAATCTGTGGGCTTCGGCTAACCCCCTGGTTTTGATTTTGTTGTGCCACTGGGCACAGATTGGCTCAGATGAACTCTCGTGTCATCTGCTACCAAGCGGATGAACGCACCGTTGCTAAAAGAAAAACCACAAAGAAACAAACCCGCATTTACGCTATTTACGACTTTCAAATGCAGATGCATGCGTAATTAAATATACTTTGAGGTGGTGTTACATTTTTGACTTTCCTTATCATGTTTCAAAATTGCTTTTCTTACTTGTAACCTCGGCCAATAGGAAGCTGCCTCCGGGAAGCTCGCAATCGTTGCATTGGTGAGTTCAAACGATAGGAACATAAGAATGTGAACAACCTCAAGTTGAGCTGGCCCGAGTTGATAGGACGCGAATTTACTGACCAAGTGGTACGTAGTTCGAACCCGACCTCTTCCTCCCGACTTTTCCTGTCTAGGCTTGATGAAATTGGCAGTATCCAAGCCATCGTACAACGTTCAAGCGTCATGGAAGTTGGACATGTTGCATTGGTGAGTTCAAACGATAGGAACATAAGAATGTGAACAACCTCAAGTTGAGCTGGCCCGAGTTGATAGGACGCGAATTTACTGACCAAGTGGTACGTAGTTCGAACCCGACCTCTTCCTCCCGACTTTTCCTGTCTAGGCTTGATGAAATTGGCAGTATCCAAGCCATCGTACAACGTTCAAGCGTCATGGATGTTGGACATCGGAAGGGTTCTACAGCTGAACGATTTTTTTCGAGTGGGCAACAACAAACTTCGCGACCCACTAATAATAATAATGCAACTTGAATACTGATCAGGGGAAAACAGTATTACTGATAGTAAAGAAGACGCCCGAGGGATGTAGGTCACATAAAATCAATAGCTGTTGTGATGATCTCTTTAACGTTGAGCGCGAATGATCCCACGAAATTTTCTCCAACTTCAGAAAACTGCGGTGAGATACGGGACTGTAGAGGTGAGTTGCGCTTAGCGATAGTTTCATGGGACAATGGCAACAGCATTTTCAAACTCGCTGATTGACTACTTTGTTGAATTGGAATTTATTGACATTTACTGGATGTCCCACACACAGGGAGAAGAAAACTGTAACAGAAGTTTAGTACAAGGTGTTTGATTTGGCCTCCTTGAGAACGTTTATGTGTTGCCTCGGGAGCGGACGGCATTTTCAAAGCACAAATTTCCGGGTCCCACTCAATGACCGAGGATGTCGACTCAGTTGATGCGTCTACAACTAACAAATATCGAACCATCAAGAGCAATTTTATTTTTAAAAATCACTTTGGGCCCCTGAGGATGTGGGCCAACGTAGTGGGGTTTTGTGTTCTTCAGGAGCCATACAAATCGTAATAGTTTGTTTGTCACTGTTTTCAAAGAATATGGATGGTCAAACTACATGGTCGTTCATCGCCAAGGATTTGCTCAAACTGTTTACGAGATAACAGTCGGTGGCCAATTGTTCCTCAAGCTTTTGTCCTGTTAAATATGCGTTCTCTCTAGACTACTCAGGAAAGGTATCTACTTATGGGCCATTCAGTTTTCTTTATGGTATAGGACAGCCATGAATCATACGGGATTCTAGTTCTACTTTCTCAAACAACATGGAAGTAATCGCTCATGGCATTTGTGTCATTTTCGGGGCTTTTGGCGACGCTAGAAAGAATCGCCAAAATTGACATTGTATGTGATTCTTGAAATTTGAAAAATCAGACTGTTGTCCGAAGGCATATGTGGTACTGGGGCGCAAAAATCAGACTGTTGTCCGAAGGCATATGTGGTACTGGCGCGCGCTACTTCCGGAACCTCACTATCAGCCTAAAAAGCACATCAGGTTCTCTGGCCACATCCCATCGGTTATTTTACGTCAAATTATAGCAGACGGCCAACGCCGTGTTTGTTGTGTCATGCCTAAATGGTACTGAAATTTCAGGGGGATTGTACTGTTTTTTTCTGGGTGTGGAATCGAAATATGTTTGCGAAACTAAGTGTTCTTTGCAGTCGCTCCCGCATTCGTAGGTTGAATGTGATTTGATCAGATGGGTCTCAGTGCAGGCACTCTAAGCCCATGAAAAAGTCATAGATGCCATAGGCTGCACTGATACTTAATATTCTTTTGGTATTTCACTGGCTACTGAAGAAGGGAAGAAAGATGTTTTACATTGATTATAATAGGTCAACTTGGACGGATCATACACCAGCTAGTAAAGTGTTCACGTCCACCTCTTGACTATTTCCACTCTAGACTTTTGCCGAACCATCTACTCATAGGTAAGTTGCGTTTTCGCAATGCACTGCTCATAAGTAAGTTGAAAATTTGTCCAAAGCAATGACCGGTTTCGCAGTTCTCGGGGCTCATCGTGTAAGTGTAGTCTCCAAGTTTCTGTCAAATAAACGTTCCACTTGGACCCCAATTGCACGAAATTGTTGAAATTTGAAAGTTTAACCTGGAACCCAGGTAAATTGCCGATGCAGTGTTTCCAGGCCACCGAATGGGCAGCCCAAGGCCGCCTCATATTTCAGTTGCTACGATATTCCAGATATCGCGATACATGTATATTCGTAATGCGCCAATCATTAGGTTGCTGTACCATGAGATGGCCTGATGCAGCCCATCCGGTTTCCAGGGGACATCACAAAGTAGAGAATCAGTGGGGTTCCACGTGATTCTCTCGGAAAACCAAAGTAGTGTGGAAAGCACGAGAATTTCGCTTAGTTGCGTTTTTCTCTAAATCCTCTACCATAAATTACTTTTGAAATGTTCGACAGAGGGCACTGGTACTTCAGTTGATCACAGATTTTAAGAAAATTGGACTCATTGGAGCTCGTCTGTATGGCACTTGGATTAGCTTCCTCCGGATCTTGGTACCAACGTTGCAGCCTACACAATTGACGCATAAGGAGTTCTGATCAACTTTGATCGGTTGGTATATGTGAAATTTCGACAGACTATCAAGATAGTGCTTTTGACGTACTCAAGTCGCAATGCTGAACGTGCGTTCGTCATACACCTTTTGATTGTTTATTTTGACAGTCGAATCGACGAAGACTAGCAGAACTAAGCATGCCATGTTTCATGCAGTGAACTGGCCATAGTACGGTCCCACGGCTTCCACTTTTTCTGTGCCACTGCTACCGTATTATCCAGGAAGTAAGAAGCCTGTTCGTTGCATGGAACAAACTAGGATGGTCAATCTATATACCATAATAAAAGATGGTGATAACTCGTCAAGTACTTTTGTCCCTTTCAGTATTTTTGAAACCGACGATCTTCTTGAATGTTTGACTGCGATTTGTATTTGGAATTTTACAAAGATAGCATGACATTCCAAACATACACATTGCATAGCCCAATTAGTTTGCTGTCCCTCAGTTCGAAAGCGTACAACAGAATTTTTAACTATAAGAGAGAAAATGAACCAGTAATCTGGAACGAAGTTTCCTCGCGAAGGATTAGCCGTATATAAATGTATGTCTTTTCACAGCCGTACAGACGAACGCCTCTCATTCACCTCACATGTGTGCAGTTAAGGATAATTGTACGGAAAATCTTGCTTGCTTTATTACGTTTCGACAAAGCACATTGGATGGCAGCCGTTTTTTCCTCACGAGAGAAAGAGCGTTTTAAGATGTCTGAAAAGATTCACTGGATAAACCTCAGCTAAGCGATTTGCATTTGAGTGCCCCCGAGCTGACTTCGGAACTCACCTTCGACAGCAGCGGCCTGATTCACCACCATATATTTTGTTACTGGCTGGAAAGCGACGTATTTGGGTGCAGAAAGCTAGCCGTAAAATGTAGTCTTCATTCGACCGAATATATGATACATCACACCGATTTAAGATACAGTGAGATGGTAGTTACTCAGTTTAGTGCCGGAACTAATAATCAACAGTAGTTTGTCAGCTGTAAGCAACCAGAATTATTTTCCGGAAATCACTCCAAAGGGTTTCCCGTTGGATAATTGATTCGATGCGTTCTTGGTGCTCATGGTAGTTGAACACTTGACATTGAGCGCAGTTTTTTAGCGAGAAGTAAACAGCAAGTTTCAGCTGGCAGATTTCGACAGCGTTTAGCAGTGCGCTTCCAACGAACGATGGTCGAGGAACTATGAATAGTCCCCTGGTTATTGAAAAGCCGTATTGTGTAAATATACTGAAAGATTTTTTATGTTGATCACATCCATCCGAAGTGCCAGCATGCAGTCTCCTGCATATCAGCGATCTTCTTTGGGATAGCCTGCACCACCACGTTCTAAAGTATGCGCATTTTTATAGTACGCAAATATTCGCGGAGAATGCGCCAAAAGCCTTCTGGCACTGATACATTTTTCTTTATGGCCAAAACGCTTTTTTAGAAGCCATGAGCCTATAATTTCACACTGTTCAAATAGTCGAACAGCAAATTTGTTTACCTAAAATCTTGTGGGCCCGAAGTTGTTCCCCGTTAAATGCCGCACCAGACATGCGCCGTTCCAAATTGTATCTAGAATGGTGTTATTTTATGCGTCCATACAAAAATGCCGGTGTAAACACAGAAAAAATGAGAAGGGAATTTCACAAATGATGAAGAGAATATTGCACGGTGCACAGTGGAGACATGCAGCACCCAATGCTATAAAATGGATTGATCAGTGGGCTGCTTTTTTGGCTGCAAGCAGGATAAAGAATATCTTCGGCGACAATAAATACCACAACTGCTGAGCAAAGTATATGCAACGCCGATGGTTAATAAGGCAATAATCTATCCCTATTAAATGGTACTTTGAATAAACCCTGACCAACGCAGTCTTAGTAGTATCCGTTGCAATAATTCCACATCAAGCAGACGGTTAACAAATCCGAAATCATATGCATCTGCGTGAATGCATTAGTGGAATATAGTTTTTCATTATCAGCAGTGCATTTAAAGTGCTGATTAAAGTGTGCTTGCACTGCTTATATTATTTTGTGGATCATCAGTGCANTCGCGCTGATAGACTAAGCAACCGGCTCCTGGAAATTATGGACCAATGATGGCACTAAATATAATATTTATGTTTATCTCGGTGGATAGAGCAAGCGTTTACGGAACAAACGTTCTGTTGTTCGAACCTCGCCAC